GTAAGGTGTTTCACATCATGATCGGGGTAAAAACATGTTCATCTATAACTTTTATTACGATTTTTAACATTTACAGTATCCATGACTATATTTACTTGATTATCTTGACAATCCATGAGCTTTTCAAGTTCAGAATCTTGAAATAGACTTGGAACAAGAAAACAATAATCATATTCCTTCTCTGTCTTTTTATCCAAGTAAGCTTACTCGATGACTTGTTTTTGTCCGAATCAGACTGAAAACTTGACAATTTACCATCTACTGGGCATCGTGTTACTCGTCTGTATCGTTTTCTTGATAAACTACGGCATATGATCAAGGTGTTTGAGATAAAAACTGCGATTTTCGGAAGGAAAAGTGCTCGACAGGAATCCTTTCCTCGTCCGCCATTTTGTCAGAGCGCCTGCGATAAAATCAGCGGTAAACCATAATGCGCACTCTCATTTGAGATTTAAATTAGCCAATCAGCGGTTTTTTAGCCGTGTCCCATGTAGCGAGATTAAGGTAAATATTGACTACGACAAGCGAGCAAAAAAAGTTCTAGCTAACATAAAAATATGCTAATTTCAACAAAGTTAGTCACCTGAAAAAAATACAGAACCGAGTCTGACAAAGATTATGGCTAGATATATTTTGCATATTTTAACTGCATGATAATTTTTGATAGACAGTTGCATTTTCTTATCCTAAGAGAATTCCGTGACGTCACACAATTCGTATCAGGCTCACACTTGATATGCCTTAGTCAACGTCGCAACCAAGAAAACAAGGAAACATGCCTAGGTTTTGCAGAACCCAAACAGCCAACTAGGTTAGGGAGTGGTCATAAAGTGCAGGGGGGTGGACCACATAATTTTGAACTCATCGAAAGGGTAGGGCTGTCAATGAAATGGGACACCTAAGAGGGTTATTTTAATTTTAATTTTTTAATCCTTGAAAGCCTGGGTGGGCCATGTAATTTTTGTGCAAAAATATAGGGGTGGGTCGCATAAAAAAATCTTCCAGTTTTGGGATTTTACCCCCCCCCCCCCCTTGTACTTTATGACCATTTCTTTATATGCAAAAACAAATATAGAAAATTATCGAGGCATAACATTACTATCAACACTAAGTAAATTATTCACCTCTGTACTAAATCAAAGATTGAATGATTTCTTAGAG